CTCCCTGGGTGTTGGGGTGAACAAGGATGCAGGCCTTGCCATCATGCTGCTCGCACTCTGGGGTTGGGGGCGGACACACAAAATTAACCCATGAGAAAGCAACTCAGAACCTACCAGAATTAGGCAATGTGGTACCGTGTGTTTGGTAATCCAGTCAAGAGCCCTAGGGAGGAGCTCCGTGCGGAGGAGACTGGTCCCTGAGTAGAGCTTCAAAGACAATGGGAGTAAGGGAGGTGGAGAGTGAAACTCCGTGCCAGGCGGGTGGGATCACGAGGGTAAAGGCATGAGGCTGAGAAGTGGTGCAATGTGGGGACAGGAGGTGTCGGGAAAACAGCCTCTAATGGGATGCGCCGTGGATCGTATCAGTCAGAGGGATGGGGTCAAGAGACTCCCACTCACTCCCCTCAGCCGCCTTCTTAACCGTCAGCACACCTCCCTGGTCCCTCGGCCCCCTCATCACTAAAATGAGGCATCATCAGCTGCCTGGCAACCTCACAGATGGCCAGGAGCTTGACACGAAACCGCATGCGTGAGCACTGTGTAAAGCACGGGGGACCCACAGCATCAGGCGGTGAGGTTCCCCCAGCACAGCGTTGTCGTGAGGCTACGGTCGGCAGGACCAGCAGCAGGGAGACAGGATCGAGGTGGATGTGTAGCCCGCAGCCAGGCCTCGGCTGGTTTTGTGGATGAAACGAGGTGGAGTTGAAGAGGGAGGCAGGTGGGGAGCATGGCTCACCCTCAGCAGCTCTGACTTGAGAGGTGGAAAGATCCATTCTCTTACGTAGCATGTGCTTCTCCCATAGCTGAGGGCTGGCTGCTCACACGGCTCCGAACCACTTCCAAGAGGAAAGTGGTGGCTTGAGTGAGCGGCTAGCCTTCGGCTCCCAGACGCCAGCTGGCACGTGTGGGCATGAGCATCTGCCCTTCGGGGTCTCAGCAAAGCCACCATCCTGTCCTGGGAATCACCAAGTGCAACCCACACCGGCCTTTCCCGAATCTCAGACTGATTCTGAGGAGGGGATTCCCTTCCCGCCTCAGGCAGGCAGAGGGCTGGGATCTATTCCCTTGCCATTGGGTCTCATTTCTGGCAGAGATGTGCCTCCTCCTGCCAGCCCTGTCCTCTGGGCCACGCACAGTTGGGTCAGCCCTCCCGTGGGGGGCACCGTGCCCAGCACTGTGGGAACACGATGTGTGCAGCTGCTGCCCTGGCGGAGCCGGCAAGGGCTCCTGGGGGAAGCATGATTGGTTCCAGGGAGGGGAAGTGGAAGACAACAACGGGGTGCAGGAGCGGCTTTTGGAGTGGGATTGGTGTTGGAATTTGGGCCAACAGAAATGGAGCTTGCCAAGCAAAGGCCCAGTGGCAGGAAGGCTCTGGGCACATCAGGGACTTGCAGCCCAGGGCTGCTGGAGAGTAGGTTCTGGGGGTGGTGTCTTCAGAGACAAGGTTGAAAAAGGTGGCTGGAACCAGATCGTGGGTCCCTGGGCTTTGTCATTTCTGAAGTGAACAAGAAAGACACAGGTGTGGCTGGGGCTGAGCGTGGGGAACGACACTGGCACCAGCTGGCTCTGGGCCCAGGAAGGAGAGGACAGGGACGAGGGGAGCAGGACAGATTCCCCAGGGGACAGTCCTGAACTCTCGCTAACACTCTGCCTACCTGGTTCCTCTTACCTGAGGTATCACTTTCTCTGTGAAGTTCCCCTGGGTATGCCCACCACAGCCCCAGCCAGGCGAGGTCAGGGGCCCATGCTCTGTGCTCCATTTCCCCCCCCCAGCCCCAGGGCCGTGAGAAATGCATTTCTGTGGTTTTAAGTCACACACTAGTACAGAGAGTGAAGGAGTCAGAGGTTGTCTGGAGTCCGGAGCCGGAGCGGCTGGAGGTGAGTGGGGATGTGCTTCACCTACATGGGGGTGCAGGAGAGAGGCAGCTGGATGGAACTGTAGACGCCGAGTTAAGTTCGGAGGGCCACCAGGACACTGTAAAAGCCATGCCCAAGCATGGCTGGCGGGGCCTTAGCAACGCGAGCTGCCTTGTGTCCATCAAGACTGGCAAGGTTGCCGTGGGACGTTTGGTGCACATTTAAACTCAGCGACCCAAAGAAGAGACCCGAGCTGCCCCATTTGCACCCTCCCAGGTCTGTCTCAGACTTTGTTCCCAGTGACCAATTTGAAGATTTCATTAGAAACCAAAGAATTGTTCTGTATTTCTTTTTCTTTTTCTTTTTCCGGAATGCGTTTGGCTGCAGCAGTTGCTGTCCTGCCTCCTGGAATGAGTTGGGCTCAGAGAGTCCTTGAACAGAGGCTGAGTTTGAACTGATCAGTGGCATTTGGGAGTTGGACCATTGCTCAGGAGCCAGCTAATTTATAATGTCATATGGGCTAGACGAGAAGACTCAAGAGGATAGGCTGTCTCTTGGCTTTTTATCTCTTCTTTTTGAAAAAGGAAAGGGGAAACAGAAGGTGCCACGCTTGGCCGTTCAGCATTCAGAGATGAACTCCGTCCCCGCTAGACCCTGGGAACATGGGGGCCGTTTCTCTGCCCACGCCCCCTTGCCTCCCAGAGACCTGGCAGCCGCACCAAGGCGTCCTTTCCGGCTTTGGACGCCGGCCCCTGCGGGCGCCGAGTCTGACTCTAACTAATTTGCAGAGGACACCTGTTCCTTAATTAGCCCCAGCCTGTGCCGTGTGTCTTGGTCTGGGTCCCTCCGATGTGTGAGCTAGCGGCCATGCAAGGGCTGCCGTTGGCGGTCTGTGCACGTTTGCGCTGACCACGCGGGCCCTGCGCTTCCCACTGCAGAGTGGTGCGGTCATTCTGTGCTCCCAAAACCACATCCCGGCCACCAGCCCGCCGTGGGTGTCATAGCTGTTGACTGAATCTTCCGAAAGAACCCTCCACCGCCAGGCCCCACTGCTGTCCCTAGAGCCCGAGGTGGGAGGGCCAGGCAGGTGTGGACCCTCATTCTGAGCCCCTCTGCGCTCCTGCTCCCCACTGCTCGGATGGCATCACACGTGCACTTCCTGCTCGACCTTTTTCAGATGGGCCTGTATGCTTAGTGTTTTTAAAAGGAGGGAAGCTCTTGGGGGACTGGGATCTCACCCTACAGGGTTTTATAAAATACATCCTCTTGTGGGTCAAAGGATCTTGGTGAACAGCTGCCAGGGAGGAGGATGAAGACAGATCTAGCATCTGGAAGAGGACCTGGCAGGCTGCAGTAGCAGGATTCCCTGCCTGCCTTTGGGGCTGGTTCTGCTGCACAGCGCGCTGCCCCCCGCCTCCCCCCCTGCCTCCCCACCTCGGTGTTACATAGTAGAACCTTCTGAAAAACCAGTCTTTAGGCCTCAGAGATGAGCTCCGACCTCCCACATAAGCTGCCCCTAAGATAATGTCCAGTGTGTGTGCAGTGGGCACCGCGGGTCGGAGGGGAGGCCCCCACACCTGCCGAGGACACACCAGGAGTCCAGTTTTGAGCAGCCCACGGTGTTTGGAAACATCTGTGGCCAGTGGCTTTGTATATATTCTTCCTCAAGACCTCTCCCTCTCCCTCCCTTCAAGAAAGAAATCCTGTTGAAGTCTCCCTAAAGTGGTAATTTTCCTAAAGGACGGGCTGATGGTGCTGCATGCCGGCTTGTGCGGAGCTGCTGACTCTGCCTCACTGAGTCCGGCCTGCAGGGGACGCCCCCTCCCCCGCTTCCCCTCCTCCCCCAGGCACCTCTGGCCTAATGGCGCTTCCCCTCCTCCTGGAGGAAGCAGAGCTGGCTCCAGGCCCCCAGCAGAAAGCCCTTTCCAGAAGTCTCCCAGCCCTGGAGCCTGCCTAGAGGCCTTGTCCCCCAGCTAATTAGAGCCTTCTCCTTAAGGGGTACTTTAGTCTTTGGTGTCATCCTCACAGTGATAATGGACTTGGATAAGAGGTCACAGCTTCTCCCACTTCCCGCTCTCCTTGCAGATGGGGGTGGGGGAGGGACAGGCACAGCCCCCCTTCCGACAGCGCCCGCCCGCCTGTCACCCTGTCACGGGGGAGCCAGGGAGCCGGGGGGCCTGGCCGCCAGGCTGAGCAGCTGTGATGTCTCCCCCCAGATCACAGGGCCAGAGCCTGACTCCCCAGAGTGGGCCCTGCTCCCCACATTCGGGCTTCCGCCGCCTGCTGCACCTCTGGCGAGTGTCATTAGCATTAACGTGATAAAATGGCGCAGTGTAAATGTTAATAAGGTCCGTTGCCTCCGCTGCTTCCGAGTGGCAGATTGGAAATGGTACCATCATCGTAACTCCAACCAGCAGCTTTTAATTCCTCTGCTCCCTCAGCAACCAGTTTGGCATTGGAAATCCTAACCTTCCCTCAGCCCCCAGCCTGGCTCTGCTGTGCCAGGCTTACCCTCATTTTCCTTTGCAGAGAGGGTTCAGATTTCCCACAGACTGGTTTTCTGAGATAGGGGTTGAATTTTTTTTTTCTAAGTAACCGCTTGGTTTTCCTTATTCCCCACAGGGGAAGAGCACTGAGCCCCAAACTCAAGTCCCACTTTTCCTGGCTGTGGTCCCGTCCCTTCTTGGTCCAGGATGGTCCTCCGAGAGATTTGCCCCGGAAGCCACTGGCTCTGGCTCGCAAGGCTTTCCCTTCTTTCAAGTCATAAACTTTGCTGGTTAACGACATCCTGCTCAATCCTTTCCTCTGAACCTTCAGCACAGCGTTCTCTTCACTGCGCTGTCGGGGCCCCTGTGTCCGCTCCTCCCTGTTTGCTGTCTGCCCCATAAACCCGGGGGCCCACGGTGCGCCTGGATTCCTCTCAGATCCTCATCTTCCTGCTGTCTCACCCCTCGTCGGGGCTCATGGCCGGCTCCGTGCGGGGCCCGGGAACCCTCAGCATTTGCCGAAGAGAAGTAGCAGGCGATGTCCCTGGGGTGTTGCCTGGGGCTTGCCCAGAAAGTTGTCTCAGGACAGGAGGCCTGAGGAACAGCCCAGAAGGACGGCTCTGGGTTTCTCTTGTGCCCCTGGGAACTCCCCACTCGATGCAGTTGGCTCCCAGGGAGCCTCTGCTGGCCCAGGTGCACATCGCGGTTAGGACTGGCCGCCGGGACAGAGGCCGCATGGCCAGCGTGTCCTCCGACACACACGCACTGTGTGCCGCGTGCACCCGGCCCCTGCACCCCCTCACACTTGTTTCTGTCACCCAGGCTGTCTTCACTCTCCTCCTCGGACCCTTCACCTTCTTTGACGTCCAGAAGACCAAGTACCTGCAGATCCTGACCTCCCTGATGAGATGGGTTGGTGAGTGAGAGACCTCTCGCGTCTGCCCTTTCTCCTCTCGTCCCTTCCTTACGCTTTCCAAGATGGCTGTGTGTGCTCACGGCAGAGCTGGAAGGTGGCGGGGGTTCCATGGATTCCCGAGAGCCAGGAGGGGGGCAGGGGAAACACAGTCCCGACAAAGATCTCATAGTGTGGACGGAGCCCGCGCTAGGCCCAGCCTTTTTCACACGCCCATGCAGGGTCCCCCCAGCACCCCCAGGCTGGGCCAGGGCTCCTGAAGGCCCCGGGTCAGGCTCTGCTCCCTCAGGGCACGAGAGTGGCACAGCCATAAACCCCAGCGGCCTGTGGCAGCCGCCTCCGCATTGCCGGCAGTGGGGCGTGAAAAGACACCCCATCCAGGATGCCTTCTGACTGATGCCCTCCTGAGCAAGAGCACCATCGTCCTCAGGGGTGGTTTGGGGGTCTCTCCCCCTAAAGCAGGTTTGTGGTAGGGAGCTCATTCATTCCTCCGCACCATCCCAGAAGGCCCCAGCTGCTGAGCCCCCTAGACCGGAGACAGGAGGGTGTGGGGTCCCTATCGTCCGGCACATGTTCTGGGATCATTTGTATTCCTGTTTTGGTCTAAAAGCAAAGAATACCGTTGCTGTTGTGGTTGAGAGGCCAGGCAGAGGGTGTCTGCCCAGACTCTGGCACCTCGCTTGCCCCAGCACAGAGGTTCCCGAGGAAGCCGAGGTTGGGACTTCTCCCTCCTGACCCTCTTCTCTAGCTCCCTTTGCCACTGCATCTGCCCCAGCGCCCCTCCTCAGGATTCAGGGCGCACCTTGCTCCTCACTCCACGCCATCCCTCAGCACTAGATCCTGATGAGCACAGAACAGCTTCTGATAAAAATGATTTCCGGCAGTTCTCGCACATCCTGCTCAGGATTACAGAATCCCAGTACAAGGAGCCACTGCCAGGGATCCTGGCATCTCAGTCGGGAGGGACCATGGCGGTCATCCAGTGCAGTCCCCGCTCCCGCAAGGGCAGGCTCTGCGAGCAAGCACACGGGATGGCCTCTTGGCCGGGAGCTCACGACGGGGTAGGCCCCTGCCCCACTCGGAAGGGATGGTTGTCAGCACTGGGAAGTCCTACCTTGTCTTGAGCCCGACTCGGCAGCCTGTAGCCTCTTTCTACCTTGGTCCTTCCTTACACGGAATTGAGAGCAGGACTGCATCATCTGCTATGTTAGCCTTGAGGCCTCTAACGTGATACGCCTGTCCTTCATCACCCAGCCAAGTCGAGGAGTAGGAGGACACTTGTCCAGTACCTGGGTGGAGCGGGATTCCTGGTCTTCCCCACTCAGCTGGTCCAATCCTATATTCACCTACATGGTGCGGTTTGCAAATTTCATTCACACGTTTCAAAGCCCCAGATTAAAGTAACATGACCACCTGGGGAAAAATGAGAACTTTAGAACACAAGGCTCACACTGGCTCCAAGGATAAGGTGCTGGAATGGAGCCCCTGTGGGTCCCAGGAGGGCTTACCTCCCAAAGTTGGGATCAGCAAGGATCACAATCCCTGCTGTCCACCCTTCTCCTTATGAGTCTGCTCATAGGAAGTCGGTGAAAGCCCTAGTGACCTTCAGAAGGAAAAGTTTTCTCAGTAAAGCAGTCTTCAGAGAAAAGTATGCCCCCTCTTGTCCGCCTGGCCCACCTCTGTTGTCACCGCTCCTCTGCTCCCGACAGCAGGTCCCAGAGTCCCAAAGTCCTGCCCCTCCCCCACTCAGGACTGGCTGTCCTTGACCTGCTGCCTCAGTGGTTCTCACCCGAGAGGGCAGGAGCAGGGTGGGGAGAGATGGGGGGGACTCCTGTGCTTCTGCCAGCGTGATGGATCCCCACGTCAGCCCACGAGAGGGCTGCCCGGACAGTGACGGTTAATAGCCTCTGTGACACTCCTGAGCTTGTTGAGCATGACCAAGTCCTCCCTGCGTCTGGGGAGCGAAACGTTCATTAAAAGGGAGGAGATTGTTAAGAGGGAGGGGAGGAGGCTGGGGGTAAACAAAGAGTGAGTGTCTCAGTACAGGGTGGGAGACCCCTCCAGACTCAGCTCCTCCTGCAGAGAAGGCACTGAGCTTCGGTTGCCAGCAGGGCCCCGGGGGCCTCCCAGGCATCTCAGAGAAGCCCTTGCCCCCTTCCCACACTGCTCTCTCAGAGTGGAACTGTCCTGCCTCCTGTGACCGCATTTTGCCTCCCCTTCTCCCAACCAGAGCCCCCTCCCACTGGCCAGCAAGGCTGGTTAGCCCCGGGGACTGCAGCGGGGATGCTCCGAGTCTCCCTCCCTCAGGCTCCTGGGCCCTGCGAGGTGACAGTGGCCTTGGGAGGCACGCTCGACAGCAGCGAGGGCCTGAGGGAGAGAGCAGCACGTGAAGGTCATCCACACTCGTGTTTTTGCATGGTGACGTTGTTGTCACTGCAAGTCGTCTGCCTCTTTTCTCCCTTCGATCAGAGAGATAATCAAATAGCATGGGCCTCTCCGCAGACCTGTTCTCCAGAGCATTCTGGGTGACCATGCAGGCAGTCATTCTTCCCCCGGAGGGGCTCAGACCCTTGCGCCTGGAAAGCTAACCTCTCTGTGACACAAAGCCCTCTGAAGCGAAAGAAAAATTGCCCAGTTAAGTAAACTCTAGACTGTACCCAAGCCTAAGGTTCAGTTCCAGGCAGGGGGCATGGGAGCCACCTGGGCCCTTTCCTCCCTGCTAGTGGGAGGGGTTTCCCTCATCGTGGCTCCGGGGCAGCCGCAGGCAGGGAGCCGAGGAAGGGGACGACAGGGTTGGAGGAGTCCCAGGGATCTGCCAGGCACCAGCGAACAGACAGCCCTGTTGCAGGAAGGACCGGGGTCTGCCTGCGGGATGTTTGCGGGGGTGGGGGGGGGTCTCTTCTCTGGCCCAAGCTCACCCCAGGTGGTTTTTCTAGAACTCTCCAAAAGCAGAAAGCACCAAAGCCCCGTTTGTCCTCTCCAGTCTGCTCCAAGTTGTCAGTTTGCAACAAACTCCTTTTCATTTTGCTTCTGAGAAGCAGCTGTGTGGCCGTGTCCCCCCCTGACCCTCCCTCCTTTCCCACACTCCCGCACACCCTGCCCCTTCCCTCTCCCCAGATTAGGGCCCAGACTGTCCAAGAGAGCCGAGCGGGAGTGCAGGGTGGCAATAAGCCGACTTGGGTTCTAGGAAGACAAAAGGGAAGAATGAGCACCAAAGGGACCGGAAAATCATAAATAAATGTGCTGAGCCGGAAACTTTCTTGTGCTTAATTAGGAATTTGTTCTGCCATCTGTTGAAATGAGGCTGGGGAAGACTGCAGAAGCCCCGCCCCGAGCAGGGCCCCCGGAGCTCAGGACACGGCCCAAGCCTTCAGGCCAGTGGCTTCCTCCGGTTATTAGCGCCTCCTGCTGCCAGAATGGGCCTTTGCCGATAGCCACTTGCCCAGGAAAATGTCGAAACCTGTATGACAAGTGCCAGTGTTGAGTCATCTCTTGTGCTCCCCCCAAAAATTCTGGGCAGCCCTGGTGGGTCAGTTTGGGAGACCCAGATCCCGGGTGCCGTCCGGCAGGTGAGACCGTTGTGCAGGCTTTAGCCGACTTCCTGACCAGCCCTGCTTGCTGTCCCATCACTCACCCCAGGGCTTCGGCTCTGGAGCCTCCCCCCGTTGTTCCCTTCCACACTGGTCCCGTGCATGGACAGCCCAAGCCTGCCTCAGCCAGGTTCCTTGTCTGGGGCAGGACCCCCCCCCCCCATGGAGCAGCCTCGAAGATAAAATGGGATCCGAAATCGTGTGCGGAGGGCTGTTAGCACTGTGCCTGGCCGGGGTCAGCACTCAGGGAGCAGCCGCGGTTTGCAGCCCCGCCGTCATCATCTCCGTTGGCCGGTACATCCCGGGGGTGGCCTCAGCAGGAGCCCCCCTTGGGCTGGCCATGAGATCAGGGACATGGCCTAGGCCACCTCCGGGAGGAACAGTGGCTCTGTCAGCCTTCCCTCTGCCTCACACCAGCACTGGTGCCCCGTGCACCCCGTCACCCCACCAGCCTCCACCCTCACCACTTCCAAGGAAGCTTGAGCCTGAGAGAAATGAGAAGCAGGTGCATCTCATTGAACGGCCTGGGGCTGCTTCTTTAGGTCCTGGTTCTCGCTCTGTTGGTGGTCAGTAGACCGGGGAACACTTAGGAGAGACACGGCCTTAAGTGCTGTCCCACAGGCCCAGTAGCTGTGGCTACAGAGCCTGAGCCCTAAACCCCTAAGCAAATGACTGTAGACTGTCCCCACCTGGGATGCTGGCATGAGCTGTCCAGCAGGAGAGGATGAGATGGCATCATTACTTCACCCTCCCTTACCAGCTTCCTCTGCAGACGCCTCCCGGTTGGGGACACACACAGCTGGCTCAGCTCGGGGTGCCCCACTTGGTGTTATTAAAAACCTGATTCTTCCTAATAAAGACTGCTCTGGAGCACGGCAGCCCTCCTCGGTCTGGGCTGGCGAGGACCCACGGGGCTCCTTTCTCTGGTTGTGTATTCAGAGCAGCGTGGTGCTCATCACGCCCGTCTCTGTGCTCCCCTCAAAGTGGGTCAGGCACCAGCCTCTCTGAGTGTCCGTGGGCAGACTCGAACCTCATGAAGCGCCTCAGCCCAGCTTTCCCCTCCTCCCCCCAGCAAGTGCCCCAGATTTGTCTTCCAGACCGAGCCAGCAGGGAGAGGTGGGACTCGGCGGTGGTGGCCCGAGTAGCAGAAGGTCCCCAGGAGGAGACCGTCACCTGGGAACATAAGGGCTCTGCTTTTACCTGTCCCCAAAATTCTCTGCGGCCGCTTGGCTGACTCTGCTGCAGATCCAGGACTGATTCAGCTGAGCGCCTCGTGGTGGGGCTGCTCTGACCTGTCACCAGCAGCGGCCAGGGGTCTTCTCTGCCTGGGCCATCTGTGGCCCACATCCTGTTGGCTTGGCATGCCAGCTTGGTATATGAACTCCTCCACAGCCACTCACTGCTGTCCCCTCA